GGTAGCCAGGCACCATCTAGTTGTACTGGACTCAGTCTGGTGGAGGCCATGGTAGTTGTGGTCCATTAGACCTTTGGACTAATCTTTCCCTTGTATCTTGTTTTCTTCATTCTCCCTTGCTCCCGAAGGGGTGAGACCAGTGGAGTATCTTAGGTGGCCGCTTACAGGCTTTTAAGACCCCAGATGCTACTCACCAAGGTAGAATGTAGAACATTTTCTTTATAAACTGTTATGCAGAGGCTTTGATTTGTTCACTACTAATAATCCCTGTGACTAGGCACACAGTAGGTGCTCGATACAATTTGTTGAATGAATAAATGAATTTTAAAAAAGAGAGATAAATTAAACTGCTTTTATAATATTTTATAATATTTCCTAGGATTGGGAAGTGGCACTTTAAAAAAAAAAAGTAGGTGTTGGCTGAATCTTCGGGACAAAAAGGGATATCAAGTTATAGAATGAATATTTGAAAGAGAAACATCTTCCTTCCCACCTAAAAGCAGCCTTATCCACTCAGGTTAATGATGTACATTTAAAAAACAAAAAGGAAATGAAAACAAAAAACAAACTTTAGATTCTTAATTTATTGGGAAAAAATGACTAGCTCCAGCCTTATTTTTCTGTATCAAAGTGATCACTTTCTACAATTCGTGTATTACTGAAGCTGGAGGATACAAACTCCTCTTTTGGGCAAATACTCTCAGAATTTGCCTGCACATGTGATTTACACAAATCTTCCTATGGACAGACTGAACTGTTTTCTGGGATTTCTGCTAAGTGTAGCCTCTAGATGCATCTCCTTGTACACAGTGTATAGACCATCCCTGTACTACACAGGCATATGTTATTGTCAATTGCCATCAAGTCGATTCCGACTCAAGGTGACCCCATGTGTGTACGGTAAAACTGCTCCACAGGGGTTTCAAGGCTACGACCTTTCAGAAGCAGATCGCCAGACCTGACTTTTGGGGTGCCTCTGGGTGAGTCCGAACTGCCAACCTTTCAGCTAGTTGTTGTTGCTGGGTGCCATCAAGTTGACTCCAACTCCTAGTGACCCCATGTAACAGGGTAGAACTACCCTATAGGGTTTTCTTGGCTGCAATCTTTATGGAAGCAGATTGCTAGGTCTCTCTCCCATGGAGCTGCTGGATGGGTTCAAATCACAACCTTCTGGTTAGCAGCTGAGTGCTTAACCGTTGCGCCACCCAGGGACTCCATATAGGCATATACTAATTCTATATATGTACATATATATAGTCATATTTTACCTGTGGATTTTCCAGTATTCGTTTAACTCCATCGACAAGATGAGAGAGAAACTTGGCCCTCTCTGCATTATTAAACAGGGATCTTCGGACCGAGGCAATCTGTACTAAGCAGGATAATACCTAAAAGCAAGGATACAACCCAAATAAAACTGATTAAAAAGATGGTACAGATATTTTCACCACACCCTTTCCCCTCCTATAATATTCTCTTTTACATACATCACTAATTCTGTTCTTTCTATCCCTGCTAGCATTATAATGATATGGGAAGATCAGTGGGGTATAGCCTGGGATAGCTAAAACAGATTAAAAAAAAAAAAAGCCTTAAGTCAAAGCTGATCATAGCAATTAATCAACAGTTTGAAAATATACTTAGGTATTATTTTCAACCACCCCAAAGGCTTCCTTGATTCTTGTTAAGATATACATATTTTTAATGCTTCAAAATACCAAGCAATTAATAGAATAAATATTTTAGATTTCTGCTTAAAGGTCTAAGTTTTTTCTGTTTTATTAGAGCCTTTTGGCTAATCAGGCTTTGCTACAGACTGCTATAATGAAATAACCAAATCAGACTGATGCTATGAAAAAAACAAACAACAAAAACAAAACAACAGCTTTTACACAGCAAACATTTTACCCTTTCCCCACTGTGCTAGATACTTATATTCCCTGTTTGTACCTCCAGATCCATTTTTATCCTTCTTCACACTGCTATGTTCCCTTGGAGGCTGACTTCCAGGGATTACAACAACCAAGTTCCCTGTCCTCTGGCTTCCAGTTGGCTTCAACCAATGGAAAGTACCAAGCGATGAGAGGGCAGAAGGAAAGAGGTACTCTCTCCACCTTGGCTGGGCTATGGGTTGGCAATGGCTGATTTTCTCTACTCATGGCCCTAGCTCCTGTTGTACATCCCTCTCCTAAGCCACAGCTTCAGCTTTCTCCACGGTTTTCTTCCCTCCCCCCGTGATGCTCCCCACTGTGGCTATCTTTCCACTTCTGTCAGCCCCAGGGTGTGTGCATCACCACCCCTGGGTGGATTTCTTTAATTCTGCCCACACTTCTGTAAAAGTCCTTTCATTAATTACCCCTCTTGAGTGCACTACCTTTCCCTGCAGTAACCTTAATGATACAACTACACTGAATTCATATTTCTGCTAAAGCCAAGGTCTACGTTAATTTGGAAAAGTTAACACAGTGAACAGGAAAGTTGTCTACTGGAGAAACACAAGGTCAAGCAGCCACTACTTTATTTTCTTTGTACACTTTATTTACAATAGTATTGTAGACCATCAACATGAAATACTGTACTTATAGTATTTTAGAACCTGAATAGATTGTAGGAGTTGGAGGAGGTTAATTATTGCTTTCAAGGAAAAGTACACCATTCTTAACAGCTTTCAAATGTATTCTGGATAAGTATGCAAATTTGCCTTCCCATTACAGCTTCCATTTATCACTTCTGTAACATATGCCTGAAGTATTTTCCAAAATCTTCTCAGTCAGGACAATCTTAAGGGTTCAACCAGACAGTACCAAGTGAATCCCCACAGTCTAGCCTGTGGCAATTTGAGGTGAGCATAAAGTCAGATACAGAATGAGAACAAAAGAGTTTGACCACTGGTGGCAACTGCCCATTAGACAGAAATAATTTAAAAATAGTTAAGTAACAATTTTATAGTGAAAATCTTTAGGGTACAAGCTTGATCTCAAAAGGATAGATAACTAACCCTAGTATTTTTATGCCTTACTTCCCCAATTATATAAAAGCAAACGAACATGAGGCTCATTCACCATTGTTACTTTCTAGAAATAGGTTTGCTTTAGGAACTGTGGTCCTGACTCACCAAAGGTGAAAACGAAGGAGGGATGGAATGATACAGGTCAAAAAACAGCTGCAGCGTTGAAGAATCCAAGAATGCTGAAACAAAGACAAAAGAGAGCACTTTACTGGGTATGTCTGCACACTGCTGGGGGCATACTTCTGGCACTGTATATTAGGGAACATAGTCTTCTGCTTACTGTTCTGATAGAATGGTTTTTTTCCTTAGAAAGTGATACACCAATAGCGACTCTGGCTCCCCCTCCCCTTTTTTTTTTAAGCACTAGCTTTTAGCTCCTCTAAGAAATAGATTCATTCTTCTGACTCTGAGGGAACTTCAGACAATTATGACTCATCCACAGCAGGAACTTTTAACCAGAGGAACAAAGACATAAACACAGGCACAAGTTCTTTTATTTAATTTTGTTTTTAAAGATAGACATTACCCCAAATGAATAAGAGATAACAGAAGTCTCTAGGCTGATTAATGCAAGAAAGTCAAATATTTATCAGTTAATACTCAGTAATTAAGAGTTCTCCCTTGCTGAGGGAAATCGATAAGGTTTCTCTAGTAACCGCTTCTCCCCTTTATAAAGACAGACGCTAAAATTCTAAATTTTCTCTCAATGTAAAAAAAAGGCATTACCAAGGATTATTTAGATCGTCCTACAGACACCATGTAGTTTAGCAGCAGGTCGTTTTAGGTGGTAGAGTTGTGTTACCTGATCTCCAGCTGGTGGGAATCTGCACTGTACACAGGTCATCTGAGGACTCATCAGTAGATGTGCCAATGAAATCAAAGTTTAGGCAGTTATGAGTGAGTTTGAGCAGTTGCATGAGCAAGCCATGCTGACTTTCATCATTCAAGTTTAGATTCTTTCCTGAAGCCTGTAAAAATGACCACATAATGAGCCCCCAACAATCACTTCCTCTCTTCCAAGCTTGCTCCCAGACTCATTAAGAAGGCTGTTAAACCAGAAAAGGAGGGATATATTTCAATGCAATAAAGTGATATTTTTTCCCAAAAGGATGCCGTATTTCTATCACCTTAACATCATGATGAAATGTCTAGTTCCTTATTTACTATTACAGCAAAGGTCACTAGTTGTACAACTTAGATAAGAGCTTAGCCAGCCATACATTTTGTGGACTGGTTAGTCACCTGGTACTGATAAATTCTGTCAGGAACCAGGGGAACAATGAAGAGGGAAAATTTTTTTTGACAATTCAGGGAATGGAAGGGGACCAGTGATGTGTAATAAATGTCTGATACGTGGAAACTGAGATTACCTACCTGTTAGTTTAGTTAGCACTCTAAGAAAAGGTTGGGGCTTCCAAGGGATAAAAGGTGATAAAAAAGGACAGGTAAGAATACAGACTCAGAAGAAGTCATACTGCTCGAAGAATACGGGATATTTTGCATGCTTGTTAAAGAAATTCTTATAAAGAGGGTTGTCTTTGTAGAAAAGGTGAGCTAGACAACATTAAACGATACTGAAAAATATGAAGCTGGTATTTAAAAAAGCCCCCTTTTTAACACTTACTTTTTATATGTTGTAGACATAATGGCCACAGGGAATTCTGAAGCAATATGGGATGTCTGTGGCTTCATATGCGTGTAAAGTCCTAGTTATTTCCAGATAGGGCAAGGATTAAACTCTGGGAGAGAGTTCTGAATAAGTTCTACACCCTGCCCTACCTTCCTTCCTCATCACTATCATCAACAAAAATCTTTCAAACCGTAATTAAAACAAAAACTCCACTGAATTTTATTTATTCATTTGCAGAGAACTTGACTACAGCTTAATACTGGTCCACACTTGCTGTGACTATTAGATTCAAAGGTTATACCAGCCATGGTCTCAATGGCTGGCTGGCTAATAGTACATAATAGTTTTTGATGGTATCAGTGCTGAGGGTTCAATCCTTAGTTTTCTCAAAAGCTTTCCCCTCTAGCGGGGAGAAGAAACTTTTGCCAGGCAGCTTGCCCAGACTGAGGTTTGTTTGGGAAATCCGAGATACGCAGTTGAGGAAAAAGATGGATATCATTAACTGGGGCAACAGAAAAAAATCCAAACTTGCCTCTAAAACTAAAATTGTGACAAACTGGAAAATGAGAACAAAAAACAAAAAATGAACAAAAAGCTGGAGGTGAATATTTACAGATTCCATTTAGCTTTCCACAGGGACAAAGCATCAAGCATCTGAACATTGTTATAAATGTGTGGGACTCTTAGGTTAATTAGTTCAATTCTATCAATAAATGGATTGAAACACCAACTTTCTATTTTAAAACAGGTAATTTGTTTATGTGATACTGTCTACCCCTTCAGGTTGTAAAATCTAAATAGATGTTAAAATTCAAAATCTACTGTTCCTTACAGATGTTGCTTGTTTATTTGCTGCTTTTAGCTCAGCAGGGGGCAGGGGAGCCAGCCTAGTTTTTGTATGCTAACAATGTAGTCTGAACCCATTTTCAGAGCACCAAGAATCCAAACACCACGAAATTAACATGCTTTCACTGCGTATAGGAAGATTTTATGTGGCTATAAAAAGACAAACGACAAAATTTCAACCTTTGTGGTAAACTGGATTCCTTTAAGACAGGAGCATGGGATAAGTGTTCACTTGCTGCTCTTTACCTAGGGGAATAGATCTGCAATAGGGAAATCACAATCCTTTCTCCAACTTCAGTGATCAATCTGGCAAGTTTCTCTAATGCCTCTGAGATAGGTATTATGTGAAAGATTAAAGAGCTGACATCTAACAAGTCCCTACTCATCCTTATCCTTTCAAAAGAACCTGGGAGCATGACCCAACCTACAGTCTCACCTGTTTTAGTAAATTGCAGGAAAGTGTGAAGATATCAAATAATGATGAATCTCGGAAAGAAGAGGCTATTTTTCTGTGCTTGGTCAAAGGATGGGTGGTGTCTGCCTGTGCGGAAAAAGAATAAACCAAACCAAGTTTTACAATCAATTGTAAAGAAAAAAAATTTCAAGCAGACTTCAAATACTTAGAAGGATTTCCAGTAACCACCACATTAAACACATTTTTAACATTTAAATGATTGTTAAAACATGTATGGTGACAGTGTACAGAGCATAATAAGCTGATAACAGCTAGCCAGGATATCACTTCTCTATAGCTTACAAATGGAAAAAGGAGAAGGGATGAGGATCTCCACTGTAGATTTTTATTTTCCTCTGCACCCAGGTAGGTAAAATGTCCAAATTGTTGGCAGACATTGCTAATAATTACTGTCTCGTTTTGTTGTGGCTTAGTCTCAAAAACACACAGAATAGCAGGGTTTGGATTTTAGTAAACAAACCATTCAGGGCTGAAGTTACTGCAGAACTGCCAAAATGGACGTTAACAAATACACACGAACTTAAGCTAAATGAAAATAGCCTGTAATTCACTCTTCCTTCTCTGATTTAGTTAACATACAGTCGATACCACAGAAGTGAGCACTTAATTTAAATGGTTGTATCAGTCTTTCACTTGTTCCTTGTTCTTGTCTTTTCAGCTAAATTATAGAATTTTTCTGTGGTTAAAGGCTAAATATTTTACTTCTTTAGCATACCCTCTATTTTTGACACATAGTAGGTGCTCAGTAGTGAAATAAAAAGGATTTCAAGGTTGCAAAGCTTAAATCCCTTCTATTATTGATCAATTCATCCAAGAGGAGCTCATTGTGCTTTTGCCACATTAAAGAGAGTAACACAGCAAGACATCTCACAGACAACCAAGTCATGGACGTGCCTTCATTTTATTTCTAAGTTCAAACAGGAATGGTGACAGAAATATACTTTCTGATTTAAATCTCACAACCAAAAAACAAAGGAAAATTAAATTATACAGCTTATAATATTCCTCAATTCTAGCTTCAATGTTCCTGTGCTATCATAAATGTCTCCGATAGTAAGGCAATGCTGGATTGTATACCATGTACCATATATAATCTATTACACTGCTCATGATACAGAGATTAATTACACGTTAAGTATGTTAGACACGTGCCCATCATCTTCTTAAGAAAGGAAAATAAAATTCTGAAAAGATTTTTTACACCAACATTGAGGTAGTTTGTGGTGCCAGGCTTCAAACGGGAGAATATTAACCTCACAATCTCTGTATTGAATTAGCGCGTGCTCTCCTACTACCAAGGTAAACAAAAACAGTTGCTGTTGAGTTGATTCTCACTCATGCTGCCCCCATGTGTTGCAGAGTAGAACCGAGCTCCACAGGGTTTCCAATGGCTGTGATCTTTCAGAAGTAGATCTCCAGGCCTTTCTTCTGAAGCATCTCTGGGTGGATTCAAACCACCAGCTTTTCAGTTAGTAGTCAAGTGCTTAACTATTTGCAACACCCAGAGACTCCACTACTAAGGTACAGCGGTTAAACAGTAAGTTTGTTGTTAAGCACACAGGCTCTGGAATAAGACTACCTAGATTCAAATTGTTGCTTACTAACTGTAAAATCTTCAGCAAATTATTTAACCTTTATGTGCCACAGCTTCCTTATCCAGAAAATGAGACAACAACAGTACCTATCTCACAGAATTTTTGTGAGAATAAAATTAGTTAACATAAGGAAAATGCTTACAACAGTGCCTGGCACACAGTAATCTCACAAAAGTGTAAGCTATTATGGTTTTCATAATAACTGACCACAAGGGGGACTGCATGTGACAGACTACAATATGGACTCCAGATTTTAATAGGCTATTAGCTAGTGCATTTAAAATAATACCAACTCCAAGTTAAAACTTCTCACGGTTAATAAAAATGTTTGCATAATTATGAGCAATAGCAACAGTGATGCTAATGTAATTAATATGCTGACAAGGGTGAGTGTTACAACTAAAATTAACACTGGCCCATCCAATAATAATAAAATTTTAGCTGGACACAAAAGTAAATGACTGAGAAAATAATAAACAGAGCGCTAGAAAGCAACTGGTGTTTCCTCTGTAGTAATGTGTGACATCAACGACTAAAGAACGATTTGGGATTTAACATAATGTTTCGCGCATTTGGAAAAGATTACCAGCAAAATCTTTAATAACAGCACATGGGAATTGATTTTTAAATGACTATAAACACATATTAATGTACACAGGAGCAGAGAGGGCACACTAATGATGCTGACTCCACTTTTACGATCCATTTTTTGGGACACATTCTCATTCTCTTTCACTAGCAACACAATATTATAGTTTTGACTTAGGACCATTGCTCTTATCTCTTAACAATGAACAATTAATACTAAGAAGGAAAGCCAAGGTGGGAGGGTAGAAAATTCTGGAGACAGAAAGGGACTGGGGCAATAAGAGTGAGGTAGGTTGTACTTGCAGAGGAAAACCAATGGAACTATCTTGTTTCAAAAGGGCATTGATCACTTACCGCAAAAGCACACAACTGCCAAAAAAGATCATCCCACACACAGCAGAAAACACTAATACTAAGAAAAAATATGGCACTTACTTCAATGAGGAAGGCTGTAGCACTTACTTGGTTAATTTCATTGGTTAGCTGAGATAAAATTGTGACGCCAATGATGCAGTATTCAACACTATCCTGGTTAAAAAACATAAGGCAGAAGGAGTTACCATGTGCAGCTTGATTTCTGCTTTGGGATAAGGTCAGACTTCTGAATGACAGATTCCTGTGTCACTAATGAAACCACCTAGACAAGGCAGCAAGGAATCGTAGTTTAAAACTGTTGCTTTGCAGGACATAAAACCTAACTGCCATAATGGAAGGCTGACAAATCTGACTTCATCAAAATTTAAAACTCTTGCATTTTAAAAATTGCCATAAGCATTATACCATAAACATTATGAAAAGATAAACTGGTAAATCACATTTGTAAGATAAATGAAAAATAAATGAGTTGCTTAATTTACAAAGACTGTATAAACAATGAGAAAAAGGCAAAAAGCCTGATACAAAAATGTACATAAGATATGAATAGGAAGTTCCCAGAAAAACAAAGACAAGTAGTAAATTAACATATGAAAACTTGTTCTGTCTCACTCATAACCCAAACAGCAAGATACCAATTCTTTTTACCTATCAAATTGCAAAAAAGAAAAAGTTTTGCTTCAGAGGCTGAGATACAGGGAAACAGGCACTCTTACAAACCGTTGGTGGAAGTGTAAATGGTATAGCTTTTTTTAGGGTAATTCAGAAATAATCTTTGAAAGAATATACTCTCTCTCTGTCTCTCTCTCACACACACACAACCCTTTGATTAAATAATTCCAAGGCTAGGAATTCACCCTACCAATACACTTATTCAAAGTATGGGAAGGTATATGTACTGGGATATTCACTCAAGTAGTTATTTAACAGTAAAAAACTAGAAACAAACTAAATGTCCATCTATCAAGATAAATTATGGTGTTTCAGATTGGAATAGTAAGCAGGCATTAGAAAGAATGAAGCAGGGTTTGTTTGTGCTGACATGCAAACACTGCCAGGACATATTAAGGATAAAAAAGATGCAGAAGAGAATATACGAAATAATTCCACTTTGAGTAATTTTTAAAAAGTGGCTAAGTATATACATTTTATTTCCTCCGTTTTATTATGTCAAATATATACATCCTACTTGTAAAAATCTTGTGACGTCTGTGATTGCATTTCTGAAGACATAGTCATCCTTCTGACAGTCAAACCAGCCCAGTTTTGTGATTCTGGCATATAACTGAATGAGTGCTTGTGTCACAAAAGTAGCCAACTTCGGCCGAGTGGCAAGGTAGTTGAGCACATAGTTCCCTATAAAACAAAAATAATTTACATAATAGAAAGCTCTGACAGAGAAGGGTGTACATCTTTAAATATGTACTAAATGGCCAAAAAAACAGTAAATTGAGACTATTTATCCTAAACACTCATTATTCGTTATGCCACTGAGAAATGGGGCCTTGAATTTAAGATTATTAGGCTTTCTAATTCAGAGTTTTATTTTCATAATGAAGAAAATGAAGTATGATAGACTTGAATCTACCTTGTTGTTGTTGTAATCTGCTGTTGAGTCGATTCTGACTCATGGCGACCCTGTGTGTGCAGAGCAGAACTGCTCCATAGGATTTTTAAGGCTGTAATCTTTCAGAAGCAGATTGTCAGGCATGTTTTTCTAGGTGCCTCTGGAGGAATCTGAACGGCCAACCTTTAGGCTAGTAGAACTACGCTTAACTGTTTGCACCACCCGGGGGGTTAAATAATATCATCTGAATAGAATTAAAAATCTCGAACAATGTTTTTCTTACTTTTTAGTAGCAGTCAAGACTGAATAAAAGAAACTTCTGACAATAAAAGGGATGACTTAGAATTTTCCTGGAAGTAATTATATTGGACCCTCTTCTACGGAAAACCCTATGGAGCACGGTTCTACCCTGACACACATGGGGTTGACATGAATTAGAATGCACTTGATGGCAACTGGCTGGCTCACTTTCATAAACCCAAAGTTCTGGAGAAAAACCTGGATTCTAGATATTCTGTATGCTTAGGAATTTCAGAGTGTTATCAAACAAGCACATAAATCTAACTGTTACTAGCACATCACTAAACAAACTAATTTCTTTAAAACAGAACAGAAAATTCTCTACTTACGAATATCTATTCGTTGTTCCAATGGTAGGGGGTTGTTTGTGCGTGATATAAGCTTTGTAAGGCATGTAGCTGCCAGTAATTGGGAGTAAGATGACTGTGGAAAGAAGGAAAGAAAAGGACCTGTTATTCAAATTATTGGGTAAGCAAGCCATAAGATTTTTTACTTGGAGATCTGTGCTCAGATGAGGGAAAAAAGAAAAAAATCAGTTTTGCTATACTGGATCCTCTCTGGATTTTAGACAGTGTATCATTTTATGGGAAAATGAGTACTATACAGCGTAGGAGCTTATTTAGCTGACTTCAGTCACAAACAAGGAGCAAGATAAAGTGAGTGGCATGAACAAACTCAATCCAATCCAGATATCTGGATCAGTTTGAGGGGTAGATGCTAAAGATCTTTTCAGAAAGATATCTTTAGAAGAAAAATTCCTTTCATTTAAACCAAGAAATGTTCTCCCCTCAATAACCCTGTTTTTAATAATACTTCAAAAATTTTTACCTCATAATATTCCTATATGTATAGTATCAGAAAGAAAAAAGAAATATTAGGGGAACCATCACATTAGGCTATATAGTTAATCCCTAAATTACATCTTTCCTTCAACACAGCTATCAATCAGCTACAGCTCTGGGGAATGTACAGGCTAGTTTTAAAGTAAAATACTTACTTAACAATTATTTGTGAAAAAGAAAAATTATACCCTAAGCAATGGAATAGCATCATTACATTCTCAAGTGTGGCTTTTAACCTTACAGAGAATCAAGCATTCTTATCTGATTATAATTTATAAGAAGGAACCATTAAGAATTCCTCTATGTGGCTTTATAGGTCATGTAAAAGAAACAGACTCAGAACCATTAAAGATAATTAAATCAAGGTCAAGGATGATTTTCCATGAAACTAAGAGTTCTAGGACAGTAGGTCATCTATGTTAGCATTATATGATACTACCAGGTATAAAGAACATCTAAGATTAAGAAAAAAAAATCTATAAAAGTGACTTAGAAAATTAATGGGATTTTTATTCAACACCCCTGAAAATGGTTTAAATTGTTTAGTTAGAGCAGCTGTGTCAAACTACTAATAGTGGAAAAAAGGCTATGTGAATTTACAGACCATGGCTCTTACACACACAATTCCAATAAATTTGCTAAGTCACTAAGAAGTGAACTGAGAGATTAAAAAAGAAGCAATCCACTAAAACGAAATGTTTTTAGTACTGTATCAATCCTATTTTTCAGCTTGTTGATTGTCAGTAACGAGTAACTGGCATTAGCAATGTCAGAGATTATAGTGTGGCATTCCAGCAAGTCAGCTGGAAGAGCCAGCTGAGCATCTCCTACAGAACAAACATGTAGATCAAGCCTAAAGCCCAGTGATTTAAAAGAAATATACCAAATATTATATGTGTAAAACTTAGAACACAGCACTACACAGTCTCTGACCATGATCTTGTAGCCTTGAGATACCTGGAAAAAGAGTTTGATACCTCAGCTATTAAAGGATAATTTTAAAGCAACTTAGTTCGTTCTATTTGCTGCATAAACAATATTGTAACAATACTAATTTTTAAATGAAGCTATCCAGAATTCCACCATCTCAACAAATTAACTGCTTTCATTTCTTTCCCCCATATCTCCTTTTAGTCTTAAGGATGCTTTTGGAAAGTAAATTTTTAGTAACCAATTCTTTAGGGATTCACTGTTGTTCAGGATATAATACTGCATTATCATTTCTATTTTCACCTCTACTACACTGATAATAATTATGGCTAATACTTGTACTTTCTCTTGGTTTCTTCCCTTTCATCTGTGAAGTAGGGTAATAGGTAAGCATGCATGGAAAGTAGTTTGAGCATTAGAAAAAATAAGAGGTGGACTGGACTTGATTATGTTGCCATTTTGTCTAAAGAAGTACAGCACTAGATTCCAGAGTCTAGTATTCTGACTTTCGTAATTGTAATACCCTTTCAGGGTACTTTGGTGAGATTTTACCATTCTGAAGACCACACCCTACCCCACCCCCAAATTAATCAAATGACATCTCATTAGCAGTATTATTTTCATCACTGCAATGTCATTTTTCACGTCCACTGTCATCTGGAAGAGGTTCTAATTCCACTTGTAAAGCTAAAACTTCCTGTACTTTTCATTGTCAAGATAAATTTTTCCTAGACTTCTAAACAATAAGCAGGAGCTGTGGTACAGAGGAGGAGAAATAAGACGCCTGGAGATCTTGTAAGGTAACATGGAGTTTAAATACAGAAAAGGAGTCCTAGAAATTTGATTACAGATGAAAAATGATAGGAAAAGATACACGTTCAAAGAAATTTTCCTGATGAGGCTATATGGACTTTTTGCCTACCTGACAGGTATGGTGCTCTTAAAAAGTGAAATTAGAAGGCAGGGACATCTAGAAGACTCAACGAACAGAAGCTATCACAATCCATCCCTAAAATTAGAACCGGAATCTATTTTCCTAAGCCTGTTATCCTTTGAGAATTTTCAAATCTTACGTACACTCCCTCTTTCAAGGAGTAGCTGGCACTTGCTCAGGCAATCAGGGCTGTTGGTGAATTCAACCAAGGCTTTCTCTGCCTGGAGTCGAGTGGTGGTATCTGTTGTTTCATACAGCTGTTTGCACAGATTCTCTAGTTGGGCCAGGCTCTGGAAAAGATCAGTTAAAAAAGAAATTAATCCAGCCTGCTATATACACAAAGTACTGTACTTGAAATTACCGGACAAAGATAAGTAGTAATCAATGAAGAGAGAATTGCTTCTCAACTCTGAGGAGAATCTGGGTGACCTTTATCTAATAATAACCATTTGTAATTCTTTATTTGATGCTTTAATAGACAAAATGATAGAACGTTAAAATAGCTACATTTTCAGTTTTTCCCTTGAAGATCAATCACAAATTACATATTTTTTTCCTTGGAAATACCCACCCTCCTAAGCATTTCCATAAGACATTCAAATAAAAATTCAGAATTTGCTTCTGTCCTGCTATCAGTTTCAAAACACTAGAGGCACTGCTACCAAAACTAAGCACATAAACACAAAATGTAAGTATCCACACAAATCTTTACATAATTTTAAATATTCTCCCTTTGAATAGCTAACTGAGTTAACTTATAAATATCTAGATACATTAGAAATGGCCACCTCTATGAGAAAGCTTCAGAATGTATGTACGCACCTTCCTCCCTGGATCCCTCATGCCTAAAGTTCAGCAGACTTCCTTCTCTGGCTGTACTTTAAACTTTCACTTCGGTTCCAAATTTAAAAGGGAAGGGTCAAAACAAATTGAACCCTAGCATATGCTCACACAGAGATAAGACAAGGGAAACGCCCCCAAACAAACCCTTCTCTCCAAATCTTGAACTAGGTCCAGGGAGAAAGAGTGGATATGGGTGTGTGCTTTGGTCAAAAACCCAAAGGGATCCAAATCTACTTAACGTAGTGTTTTAAAAGGAAAAGAGGAAAGGAACTGGTTAGGATTTAACTGTCATCTTTCACCGAAGAGATGGGTAAACATCTGTTTGCCTTTAAAGGAATGGTTTGGACTTTAAGAAAAAAACATCTGAGCCTATTTTCAACAGTAGCAAGCAAGAATTGGTTTAAATAGTTTGAAGGATCCTTCTGTTAGAAATGAAAATTCTGACAAGATCCCCCTCACCCCCTAAATACTAACTAAACAAACCAACCTGGGTAAATTGCCTAAAATATATTACACAGTCAGTCTGCCCAAGGCTTTTTGTTATCACTTTATTTCATTTTGCTGTGACTTTATAAATCACAGCTTTTCCACTAAGCAGGAAAGTCCTTAGTGCAAGATTCCTATTTTACTCAACCCGTTTAATGAATTTCAAACATTAACCTAAAGGCAACAGAAAAGACAAACACTAACACTCTAAGAGAAAAGCATCAGTCTCACTTCAGAGATCCCACCCCCCAAAAAAGAACAAAAACAATCAAAAGAAACCACTCCTCAAAACATCTTGGGACTTTGATTATGCTTATGTTTAATTTGTTCCCCTCTGACTTTTCAGGGGGCCCACTTAATATCTTCTTCAATTCAAAAACACAGAGAAAACTGCAGTTGCAAAGTCAGATTTCAAGCAATGAAATTCTATATGCAGTACCTGATTTTTTCCACATAGCTTATAAACACAAGAATAGAGGACAAGATTAATTATACATATATTCCATAAAATACATGTGAAAGTCATTTTTATGCTAGCCAATACTGGCTCAAGACGAGTATGAAGTCAGGGTTTTTTTTTTTCCGCCTATCTCATGATTTACTTAAAAGAAAAGGAAGAAATTATTTAAAAAATAGGTAACACAAAAGATATCAACAGGATACCCTAACTAAAAAGGAAAATTACGAAATCTGGTATTAGGGAAAAACAGCTGTCTCATAACCTTCACAGGGTCACACACTTTAAGCTTTCCAACATCTTGAACAGACACTCCCTAAGCAGTCAAGCTTCTTAATACTTAAGGTATAATGAGTCTCCTTAAAGTCTGATCAATCAGTTCTGGTAGCTCCCCCAGTGCAACTCTCGTTTCTGTTTATTACAACAAAGTTGTTCACATGACAATGGCTAAGCATCTGTCACCAGTGGTTCCTTACTGCTAAAAACCTACATGCAGGTTATGGTGGGCGTTTTTTGCTGTTGCTTTGTTTTGATTTGCTTTAATTTAGTTGACAAAACATACTGCAGGTTAAATCTGGTAATGAGTTCTCAGCTCAGGAAACAATCCTGTTTAAAAACAAAAAAGTAATTTGACCATTTACACAAACAGTTTGAAGAACTATAGCTCTGTTTCCAGAAGAACAAACGGGGAACGATTATGTTTTCCCACACAATTAGTGGAAACATCTATAAACCACAGAGTGAATTGTCATTTTATTTGGGTTTCCCATACTACCCATGGAAGAAGTAGAGGAACAAGACGGTTACATTTATGCTCCTTTGGATCCTAGTGTTTCCAAGCAAATTTAATGGTTGGATTATCTGAATTGTTTTTTTTGGACCCAGCATAAGACAATTTATCCTACCAATTATTTGATTAGCCAATAAAACTAGTATTTCACATTTACAGGGAAGGAACAACACACCACAGCATTTTTCCCCTTACATGGAAACACCTTTCCTATTCCCCAATTCTTATTAAGGGCATCTGTTACATGATGCCAGTTGGGTCACAGCAAAGACTCCAGAGAAGAATGTCTATTTTCTGTCCATCAGACTGCCAAGCCTATAAATTCACAGAGAAACTTCTATATACTCCCTCTGGAACAGAAAAACACATCTGGTGTAATACTGTATAAAACTGGAAGGTGATCCTCAACAGCAAAGGAGTGTTTAAGGAAAAGAAACTCAGGACAATTAAATCTCAAACCTAGAAACATGCTGATTTCACCAACAGTCACAATGAAGGTACAGTATTAAAAGAATTTATCTTCTTCAATATTTCACATTATTTTACAGTCTTTTAAAACTAGATAGAGAAAATGTAGCTCAATTATTTCAGTATAAGGTGCAACCTCTTGAGACTACAGACCTCAACATATAATCCTTTGTCTGAAGAGCTGCCACTAGATTAGAGGAAATGGAGATTTTGTTTGTACATTAGATGTTATACTACTCCCCAAAGTAGAATGTCTTGGTATTTATGTTATTTAGTTTGTACAATATTGCTTTTTAAATAGCCTAACAGCATAGACTTTTATATTAGCCTCACTGCTCTTAAAAAAAAAAAAATGCGATTGGAAATTTCCAATCAGAGACTAGCATATTGGAATTTAGGAAGGACTTTGTGACATTCCCAACAATGCCGAGTACTGAACTAGAAAACAAGCAGAGCACTTGGGTGATCAGTTGGATCTGCAGGTCCTCTGAAGATCCTTAATCACATCCTTAATCTGATTGTCACCCAGACTAGCTGAAATGATCAGAAGCCAACATTTTATTACAAAGTGTAGGCTCAATCCCATACACTAGAAATTCTAATGAAGAATACAGTGCTGTTGTTGTTGTTAGGTGCTGTCAAGTTGGTACCAACTCACAACCACCTACGTACAACAGGTCCTACGCCATCTTCAAAGTCGTTGCTATGTTTGAGCCCACTGTTGCAGCCACTGTGTCAATCCATTTTGTTGAGGGTCTTGCTCTTTTTCGCTGACTCTCTAACTTTACCAAGCGTGATGTCCTTCTCCAGGGACTGGTTCCTCCTGATAACATGTCCAAAGTATGTGAACAAAGTCTCACTGTCCTTGTTGCTCGGCTGTACTTCTTCCAACACAGATTTGTTCATTCTTCAGGCAATCCATGGTATATTCAGTATTCTTCACCAACATCATAATTCAAAGGCATTACTTCTTCTTTGGTCTTCCTTATTCATTGTCCAGCTTTTTCACATGCATATGAGGCGACTGAAAATACCATGGCTTGTGTCAGGCACACCTTAGTCCTCAAAATGACATCATTGTTTTTCAACATTTTAAAGAGGTCTTTTGCAGCAGATTTGCCCAATGCAATACATTGTTCGATTTCTTGACTGCTGCCTTCATGGGTGTTGACAATGGATCTAAGTAAAATTAAATTCTTGACCACTTCAGTATTTCTCCGTTCATCACGATGTTGCTTACTGGTCCAGTTGTGAGGACTTTTGTTTTCTTTATGTTGAGGTGTATACTGAAGGCTGTAGTCTTAATCTTCATCAGTAAGTGCTTCAAGTCGTCTTCACTTTCAGCAAGCAAGGCTGTGTCATCTGCATAATGCAGGCTGTTGTGAGTCTTCTTCCAGTACTGATGCCGTGTTCTTATTCATATAGTCTGGCTTCTTGAATTATTTGCTTGGCATATAGATTGAGCAAGCATGATGAAAGGATACAACCATGATGCACACCTTTCCTGATTTTAAACCACATAGTATCCCCATGTTCTGTTTGAATGACTGCCTCCTGGTCTATGTACAGGTTCTGCATGAGCACAATTGTTCTGGAATTCCCATTCTTCACAATGTTATCCATAATTTGTTATGATCCACACAGTCTAATACCTTTGCATAGTCAATTAAAACACAGGTAAACATCTTTCTGGTATTCTCTGCTTTCAGCCCAGATCCATCTGATATCAGCAATGATATCCCTTGTTCCACGTCCTATCCTGAATCTGGCTTGAATTTTTGGCAGTTCCCTGTTGATGTACTGCTGCAACTATTGTTGAATTATCTTCAGCAGAATTTTACTTGCATGCGATGTTAATGAGATTGTTTGATAATTTCCACAGTCTGTTGGATCACCTTTCTTTGGAATGGACACAAATATGGATCTCTTCTAGTCAGTTGGCCAGGTGGCTGTCTTCCAAATTTCTTGGCATAGATGAGTGAGCACTTCCAGTGCTGCATCCGTTTGTTGAGACATCTCAGTTAGTATTCTGTCAATTCCTTGAGCCTTGTTTTTGTTGCCGGTGCCTTCAGTGCAGCTTGAACTTCTTCCTTCAGCACCATCGGTTCTTGATCATATGCTACCTCCTGAAATGGCTGAATATCAACCAATTCTTTTTAGTACAGTGATTCTGTGTATTCCTTCCATCCTCTTTTGATGATTCCTGCATCATTCAATATTTTGCCCATAGAATCCTTCAATATTGCAACTCAAGTCTTGAATTTTTTCTTCAGTTCTTTCAGCTTGAGATATGCTGAACGTGTTCTTCCCTTTTGGTTTTCTAACTCTATATCTTTGCACATTTCATTATAATATTTTACTCTGTCTTCTCGAGTTGCCCTTTGAAATCTTCTGTTCAGCTCTTTTACTTCATCATTTCTTCCATTCGATTTAGCTACTACTCTACATTCAAGAGCAAGTTTCAGAGTCTCTTCTGACATCCATTTTAGTCTTTTCTGTCTTGCCTGTCTTTATACCTTTTGCTTTCTTCATGTATGATGTCCTTGATGTCATCCTACAACTCATCTGGTCTTCAGTCATTAGTGTTCAATGCATCAAATCTATTCTTAGATGGTCTCTAAATTCAGGTGGGATATACTCAGTGTTGTACTTTGGCTCTCATGGACTTGTTTTAATCTTCTTCAGCCTTGAGTTGAACTTGCTTATGAGCAATTGATGGTCTGTTCCTCAGCTGGCCTCTGGCCTTGTTCTGAGTGACTACATTGAGCTTCTCCATCGTCTCTTTCCACAGATGTAGCAGATTTGATTACTGTATATTCCACCTAGGAAGGTCCACGTGTACAGTCACCATTTATGTTGCTGAAGACAGGTATTTCCAATGAATAAGTCATTGTTCTTGCAAAATTCTATCATGAGATTTCCAACATCATGTTGAATACAGGGTAGATTTACCAATTTAATAACTGAATTTTCATAGTGAGGATGCTTCCAGTGTAAAAGAAACTGCTGAAAAGTTACTTTCAACTTGTTCATGTTCCCCAATAATTTAGATCCCCGTAGTTGGAATTTTTCTATGAACTGGGAAAACACTGTGCTAAGAAAACTAAGAGATACATACTTAACCTACCAGAAAATGAACCATTTTTAAGGACCTAAATTAAGATTAATAAAATCTATAGACTATTTACATTTTATTTTTAATATACTCATTAAGGTAGAGCTTGAATGAAGGCATTCTGATTGTCAAGAATGAGTATCCAATTATCACAGTAAAAAAAAAAAAACAAAACAACCTCTAAAAATTTAGTAATAACAACTCTTGTTAGGTTATGAAGACAAGTGAGTATAGAATATACAGAGTATGTTATCATTTGTGAAATGTGTTAGTAAATGTATAGAAAGAAAATTTGGGTGAATACAAACCAAGTTTAACAGAGGTTATTATCTGCGACGTGAGGTTATGGGAAACTTTTGATTTCTGTTATATATTTCTGTAACTTCTGAATTTTTGGCCATGACCACATATTACTCTGTAAGCAAAAAAACAAAACAAAACAAAAACCAACCCAATAACTATACAGATAAATAGCTACATTCTTTTCTTAACTCTTCTAATTAGTAAGGTTTTGCTAATTAACAGCTGATTCTGTTAATAATCAGAATTCATAAAACAAATCCATAAAAACAAAAAGGCAAAAAAGTATTAAAATTCCAAAGGCTAATTAAAAAAAGTTTGTATTTCTTTTAAAAAATTTTGTATTTATTACTACTTTTATTTTGCTCTTCCTTACCAATAATAAATCCTGACAGTTTCATTTAACACATAAAAAAAAAGACCTGAAAAGAATACTCCATTCAAGGTTTCCTCTTGTTTCTAAAGTTACCTAAGAAGGCAATCTTGTGGGAAGAAAACCATCCTAGTTTTACACATATATCAGCAGATCTCTTGGAAGTTATTTACTGCAATGGAGTCAATGGGGTTTGCTAGCCCTCTGAGCGAAAATGTTTATATATACAAGCTTAATATTTATTTTAAAAGTCAGTTTAAGAAAAAGGTAAGTTTACAGAGCCAGGGCAAAGGACCTGAATAAGTACTTCACAAGAGGATATCCAAATAGCCAACAAGCAAATAAAAAGGTGCTTCACCTCAATAATCATCAGGAAATTTAAATTCAAACCACAAAACGATACCTATCAGAATGGCTAAAATGAAAAAAGGTCAAGATCAAGTGTTGGTTAGGATGTGCTTCCAGTCTACTCCAATGACCGTTGAATCGATTTTGACTCATGGTGACCCCATGTGTGTCACAGTAGAACTGTGTTCCATAGGGTTTTCAATGGCTGGTTTTTTTGGAAGTAGATCACCAGGCCTTTCTTCTGAGGCGCCTCTGGGTGGACTTGAACCTTCAACCTTTTGGTTAGCAGCCGAACACCTTAACTGTTTGCACCACCTGGGGACTTATACACTGCTAGTAGAGTCTAATATGGTTCAAACGGTTTGGAAACCTGTTCGGCAGTTTGGCAGTATCTATTAAAGCTTAATATATGGATACCCGATGGACCAGTTACTCCAATCCTTGGTATACACCCAAAAGAGATGTGTACTAATTTCACAAACACACACACACAAAGTACAAGAATGTTCATGTCAGCACTAATTGTAATAGCTCCCAAACGGAAATAAGCCAAACATCTATCAGTAATAATAAAGATGTTTTATTTCTTAATCTGGGAGCTGGTTAACAGGCATGTTCACATTTTGACTATTCATTGAGTCGTATATATATATTATACTTTAAACAGATGTTTCTAAAAAAGAAGATGGATGAAGGCCATAATTCTTCCAAAATTCTCCAGGATTTTTCCTAGAAAATTTATTATTTCTTTCAGATACTAATGGAAAAGAAGTTCATTAATAATCTACAACTGTACTTTAGATTTAAATGCTTTAGTTTTTACATCAATTCATGCTTTTAGAACTATGACTCCCATTATTTTCTCAGGAGATAAATAAGGTAAGACTTTTGGACACTTCGGGACATTCTATTGCTCAGAGTACTAAGAGGGTGAGAAAAACTGCTTGGTTATAGATGCTGTGTAACGTCTACTGCCGTAAAACAAGATAAAATATACATTTTCAGCAAGTGATAATGCTATGCCAGACCCTTGCAGACATGAGATAAGGATGGCAAGTCTACTAACATATGAGGCTGCAAAATTCTACATTTAACCTCAAAATACTAATCAATTCTAACCTGTAATAAACATGAATGACTTTTGCATTATGGGTAATACACAGCCAAATATATGTAAACAAATTATTTCATGATGTAAACACAGCCAGATTAACTATGTGCCTGGTCGTTTAACAGTTTATTGACTTATAAACTTAAGAGTTTTCTTTTATCATGCCACTAGAAACTGGTTTTGGTTCCTTGTCAGACACACATTAATAGTGTGGATGAATGAAAACTAAAGTGTAAGGTGAATTCTCTAAATTAAGGGTTACAAATTGGTAGCCTGAAACTGGCCCACACTTTATCTTTTTTTTTTTTCCTTGCAATGTGGTTTGAAAGTCTGACGTAGTTGCTGGTATTTCATAATAATATCTGGTTTCCTA